AAAACTCACACACACAGAAACACACAAAAACATACACACACTCACACACACTCAGTCACACAGAAATATAAAAAAACACACTTAGAAACACACAAACTCACACAAAAACGCACACACATACACACACACAGAGAAACACTCACACACTCTCACGCACACATACAAGCACACACACAGGTATGTTACCTCCCACAGACTTCTTGAAAATTTATGCCGTTCTGCTCCTGGCTGACTGTAAATTCATTAGTGGAATAAGAAAAAACAACAAGTAACAACAACAACAACAACAACAACAACAACAACAACAACAACAACAACAATAGTAATAATTGCAATAACAACAACAACAAATAATAATAATAACAATGAATAAAAATTTATTTTATTACCAAGAATTCGTTTTTCCAGTTTATATCATTCTTGAGAGAGAAAAAATTGCAACAAGTCGGAAACAACGACAACTTTTTTCCGAGCTCATTCCGCCTAAGTTGATTTGTGTGCTTTATGAATCGTCAACAACATCGGCAGATGAAACGATGACATCACAACCGCAGCAGCAGTAACAACAACAACAACATTATCATCATCATCAACAACAGCAACAGCAACAACAGCAACAACAAAGACGACGATAACAGCTGTAGCAACCATACCAACACATCAACAACATCATCATCAACAACAACAACAACAACTATAACAGAAACAACAACAACGACGACGACAACAACATCAACAACAACAACATCAAAGACATTAGAACGCAGATACAAAGAATATAACGATAAATGTAAGAATGAATAAAAAAATATACTTAATGTTTAAATAACAACGACAACAATAACAACAACAACTGCAACAACAACAATAATAATAATAATAATTATTATTATTATTGTAGTTACCAGAAAATGTTGATTTATGACCAGATCTAATGATACTCAACAAAGGATTAAACATATTTCTTCGGCGATGATTGTGATGACGATGACGATGATGATAATGACGATGAAGAAGATGATGACGACGACGACGTTGTTTTTGTTGTTGTTGTTGATGATGATGATGATAGAGATTGAGCAGCGATAATGATGTCGATATATCATCTATGATAACATCAGAACCATATCAGCGCCATACATAACATTTAGAAAAGAATCAACGGAACGTCTCTTTCTCTCTCTCTTTCTTTCCCTCTCTCTCTCTCTCTCTCTTTTTATTTCTCTCTTTTTCTCTCTATTTCTCTCTTTCTTTTTTTTTTCTCTCTCTTTTTTTCTATTTCTCTCTTTCTTTTTCTTTTTATCTTTTTCTCTCTCTTTCTCTCTCTCTCTTTCTCTCTCTCTTTTTTTCTCTCTCTTTTTCTTTCATTTTTTCTTTTTTTTGTTTTTTCTTTCTAATCTTCTTTCTTTTTCATATTTTTCTCTTTTCTCTTTTATCTCTCTCTTCTTTCTTTTTCAATTTTTTTCTTATTTTCAATCACGCAACAACAACAACAGCAACAACAACAGCAACAACAAAGAATCAACGGAACGTCTCTTTCTCTCTCTCTCTCTCTCTCTCTCTTTTTCTCTCTCTCTTTTTCTCTCTATTTCTCTTTTTCTTTTTTTCTCTCTCTTTCCTTCTTTCTATTTCTCTCTTTCTTTCTATTATTATCTTTATTTTCTCTCTCTTTTTTTCTTTCTCTCTCTTTTTTTTTTCTCTTTTTTTTTCATTTTTTCTCTTTTTTGTTTTTCTTTCTATTCTTCTTTCCTCTTCCTATATTTCTCTTTCCTCTTTTATCTCTCTCTTCTTCTTTTTCAATTTTTTTCTTATTTTCAATCACGCAACAACAACAAAAAAACAACATAACAATAACAAAACAACAACACGAGAAAATCAGTAGCAGTAGCAGCACATCAACCAGCCGACCGAGCAACCAACACCTGACCACCCCACGTGCAACTCTTAAAGTTTAGCGCTGCATAATTAAGTATGACGTGTTTGACAGCGTACGGTGGTGACGTCAGTGTTTCTACCGCTTCTTCTTATCGCCATCATCATCATCATTATTATCACCATCGCCATCATCATCATCACCATCGCCATCATCATCGTCGTCGTCATTAACACCATCATCATCATCGTGTTCTTACCATCATCACCATCATCATAACCAGATTCACTCCACAAACACATACACACTCATACATTCTCTCTTTCTCTCTCACTTTCTCTCACTCTCTCTCTCACTCACACACACACACACACACACATACCTGATAAAACTTACACACAGAACCACACAAACAACACTAGCCACAGTTAGAGCACAAAAAAAAACTTCAACAGATGAAAAGACGTTGAAAGAAAAAAAAAGTGTCCACAAAAAATAAATAAATCTCACAGACCGGAAAGAGTAAAACGAATGTAAGTCACGTGCCGGAAGAAGATGGATTGTCGGCTGCCAGGACAACGTGACGAGATGACGTCATCGTTTATTGCTAGTGACGTCACAAAGATGGAAATGTACCTGCTGCTGTTGCGTTCTTTGAGCAATGCAATAAATAAACTATTATGATGATGGTCTGTTTCTTTAGTTTTTTTTTTTTTAAAATCTAACAACAATTTTAAAATATAAACTTTTAGATTTGCATGTTCAACAAAAAACCTTACTCTCATACTAAATCGTCCCATTCGAAACACAGCCTTTCTTTCTTCTAACTTAAATTACTACTTCTACACAGCCATCTTTGTATTCAAGTTTCTTAACAATTTGCCTCTTCCCTCTTAACAATATCCCAATTTAGTAGTACAAAAATTGTTTCAACAGTTACTAGGCACACTTCAGTTTTAACAGTTTCTACAGTCTTACTGTTACTGGCCCTAAGGTATGGTCCATACTTGTCCCCACTCATATTGAGATCTGAAAAGTATTATGCCAATTCAAATTCGCATTACGACGTTACTCGACTTCTATTGATACCCATACCTCTTTATGACTCTAGTAGGCTTGATTCTCTTTGTGTGTGATTGTGTGAATGCGTGTGTGGACGAGTGTGTGTGATTGTGTGAATGTGTGTGTGGATGAGTGTGTGTGATTGTGTGAGTGCGTATATGGGTGAGTGTGTGTGATTGTGTAAGAGCTTGTGTGAATGAGGGAGTGTGTATGTGAGGTTGGACGTCAATCGAATTGTAGGTAACTTCTCTTTGTGATGACATTTAATATGTATCGCTGATCTAAAAGTCTTAATGTAATATGTGCTTCGTTTAATTTTCATTGATAAGCCATTTGAATCCCCATCATCTTTATAATGTGTAGAAGCTGGTGACGTGTAATATATACTGACAGTTAATGCCTCTTTGCAGTTGCTAAATTGACATTGCTACATTATTCACTTCCATATCACCATTTGTTGTGGATCACTATCTATTGAAATTTCATGCACACAATTCGTTGTTGTTGTTAGTGTTGTTGTTAGTGTTATTAACGCTGATGTTGTTGCGTCAAGTGTTGCAAATGTTTATACCATGGTTGCTATTGCTGTTAGCCTGAATGAATAAATGAAAAAATGAAAGAATGAATGAATGAATGAATGATTGATTGATTGAATGAATGACTGAATGACTGACTGACTGACTGAATGACTGAATGAATGAGAGAATGATTAAATAAATGAATGAATGAATGAACAAGTGAATGAATGAAGAAAAATTGAAGAAATGAATCAATAAAATTTGAGTAAGAGAAAAAGGAAGATAGAAACGAATAATTGATTATATAAAAAGTACGAATGAATAGAATGATGGATGGTCGAATAGATGAATGAACGCATGAATGATAGGATAAATGAACGAACGAATGAATGCATGCATTAATGAACAAACGAATTATTAACTGGCTGAATGAATGAATGTAGGAACAAACTAACAAATGAAGAACCAAATAAATTAATGAATGAATAAACGAATGAATGAATAAACGAACCAAACAAATGAATGAATGAATGAACAAACGAACGAACGAACGAACAAACGAATAAATGAATGAAAGAATAAGATATGATGCAATCTTTCATCTATTCATGGTCCCTGACTCAATGCGTTATCAGAATGATGATGATAATAATATTGATGAAGATTAAATGATGGCAACAACGATTCAGATATGAATGATGATAACGATGATAAAGTTATGATAATAATGATGAAAAGATGATACTGATGAAGATAATTAAGCATCTATTTCGTTTCAAACTAATTTGCATTTACATAGGGTGTTTTCAGTAGCGAACAGACGAATAGCGAGTTAACTTTTGAGATAACCTTATGTCTAGAACATAGGTTTTATTTACCCACAAACAACAACAACAACAGCATCAACAACAACAACATTAACAAAAAGCAGCAGCAGCAACAACAACAACAACAACATTAACAAAAAGCAGCAGCAACAACGATAACAACAACACAAAACTCATGATAAAATTATAATAAAAAGACTTTTTTCATTGTAAAATAAAATAAAGGTAGTTGAAGAAAAATTAGCGTAAAAAAACCTAAAAAAATCAACAACGTCAATTTATAATCAGGTTTATTTTACAATAAAATGTAAAATACACGCACACACACAAACACGCACCCTTTCTCCTCTCTCTCTCTCTCTCACACACACCACACACACGCGCACACACACACACACACGCTCATTTATTCAGTAGATATAACGTGATACAAACACAGACAAATATATTTTTCATTAAAGGAACTAACATTACTGTTGGAGAAATGGAAATATTTTTTAAACAAATGCAACACTACAACAATGGAAAGACAATTAAAACAATTTTTCGGAACGTTTTAACAAGCTGCAGCGAGTGTCAGTGGCAGCAGCAGTAGCAGCAGTAGTAGCATTATCAAAACAACAACCACAACGACACCAACCACAGCATCCACAACTACATCAACCACAACAACATTAACAACAACAACATCAGCGCAACACTCAGGCGAGTCATTTTTCA